CTATACCAGCTCTTCCACATAGGTTTGAATCATCCAGGTAGAAGAAAACAGTCAATCCATTCAGTGATTTAGGCTGGGTGCAAATGTCACACCTATTGCATACTAATTGCCCAGGAAGTATTCTAAAGCTGTAACTGAACAGATGTTCACAGTTCTTAGAGCACTTTAAAAATGGCAGATCATGCTCTACATCAGCCCTCAATGGATGAAGTATTAGACTGAAGTACTTTCTGTTAGAGGGCTTTGTTGAACTTCTGTGCAGACCCCATTGAGGGTTAACTTACAGCGCGACTGCCACTATCCCAGGTAGCACTGCACAGAGCTTTACTCTAGCCTAAGGCAGTGCTTGTTTGCCTTGCCCAAGCACTGTGCCAGCCACACCCCACTGGCTACCACTGACCTGAGTCAGTGACAACCCCTGATCCCAGATCCACTTCCTCCCTCATGCCAGCTGAGAGCTGCAGCCTGGATGGTGGGGGTGGGGGTGAGAAAAGGGGTCTCTTTTCCCACAGATGCCCTGGCCTCATAGCGCATCACTGCCCAGCCAGAAGGGCTGCAGGGGGAAAAGGGTCTGGACTCTGCCCCCACAGAAGCCCTAGCTCCACTGTGCACCATAGCCTACTTGGAAGGGAGGGATCGTTTCCCCCAACCGCATCCAGGAGCTGCAGTGCAGTGCCACTTTTCATTGCACCAGGAGCTCTGGGGGGGGGGGGGGGAGGACGAGGGGGGGGGGGGGGGGGGAGTAGAAAAGAAGTCCCCCTGCTGCAGGAGGCCAGTCCTGCCCCCACCAAGACCCAAATGGGAAGCTGTAGGTGGGGAGGGGGCAACTAGCAGGGAAGTTATTTTTATCTCCCCCTAGCCTCCAGAGTTCCTGAAAAGCAACCCTGCACTATAGCTCCTGCTGGCTCTGTGGGGAGCAGAGCTTGTTTACGTGCCTGGCCATGAGTGATCCTGCCCTACACCCCTCCCCTGCCCCAATCCGCAGAAGATCCAAGCAGGACAGGCACCTCCAGCCCCCACTGCGGCTCCAAGGAGATGCCAATGCCCAGCCTTCCTCCCACCAGCACTCAGCAGATGAGGGCCTCCAGGCATCCCCAGCTCAGCACAGAGGTCCCTTCCAGGCCTGCTTGCCTGCGAGTCTCTGCTTCCCGTCACTGATAGAGCAGCTGGGAGGGGAGAGGGACTGCTCCCCCATGCCAGCCAGCCAATCAGGGATGGCTTGCTCATTCGGTTGCACTCAGAAGTCTCCAGCAGCTTGGGGAGTCTGTGGGGCATTCTGGGAGGTGTGGGAGAGCTCCCCCTACCTGGTGGGATCAGGAAAGCACCCCCCCCCCCCCCCCCCCGCCCCACACCCGCCCAATGGCAAACATCTGTTTGATTCAAATGCAATCTAATGTACAGCACTAGAAGTAAAGTGTGATAGACCGCTTTCACTACAGGCTTTTTGAACGTCTGTACTTAGTCTCAGTGATTCTCCCTGACCCTTGTAGACACTGTATCAAGCATGTGGCCTCTTATCTCAAACAATGTTGGTCAAAAAGTAAAACAAAAATCTGGGGAAATAGAAAGGAGACAAAATGCAGGTGCTGAAAATAAGAATTTCAGGTCAGGAGGAGGGTATTGGTATTTCTGTTTTAGTTATTTGTTGAAGTAAGAGTGTGTGTATGTGTGCGCGTGCAGTCACGTGCACGCATGCGTTAGTAAACTAACAAACTTAGACTATGCTATTAAACCAAGCACCATTCCTGGCCACTGAAAGGTCAGATGTAAAGTGTTTTCTTCCTTGCCAGATACATTACCACAGCTACCATAAAGTGTTCTAACAAGAAAGGGAGGAAGTGACACCACTTGGGCTGTTGTGCTTAAAAGTTCAACTATAAGGATCCAGAGATTTTATCATTGCTTTCAAGAGGTGCTTTCATGGCAGGGACACCTGACACGAGTCCACAAATCATAATTCATAGTTTGCATTTCTATATGACAAAATTAGAGTGACTGTGTATCCCTTCCTTTTAAAATGCGGTTATAAACCATTTCAGTTACTGATTCAGTTGCTTTCCTGCTTCGAAGAAGCCTAGATTCAATGGATTCTGTGTCTAGTAAATTATTAAATATCAACTACAGTGTTTACAATTGTCGTTGTTGCTTCCTGGACTTTTAGCACCTTTTTACAACTACATCTGTTAGCAAAAATGTAATGTGTGTGGACTCACAATTTCTGCAAGAGGCAGCATGCTCCAAAATATCCCAGATTTTACCTCATTTAAATTAATGTACTTTTGAAGTAAGCCTATAAGTAATCTGGCCTTCTCAGCAGCTAATGGAAGAAATATTAATATTCTTCATAAAAGGATCAATCTTTTCTTTCAAGTGAGTAGGATGGAAATGTCTAAGATGCTTGGCATGGCAAATTGAGAGTACCCCTGGGAACAGATGAAAGATCTGTGCCTGGCACTTCTATCATTTCAGATATATTGGACATAAAATAACCGTTCTGGCTAGTTTTTGGAAGCAGTTTTTTACATCATTTTTAAAAAATGTCAAATAAGTATGACATTTGTGTTAATTAAAAAGGTATTACTCCACAATAAAAATACTCCATCCTTCCTTCCTTCCTCCTTTCAGCACTTAGGGAAAAAGTATAAAGTAATGCAGAAACCCAATCTGTTTCTTTTCAGTAGTCTGGGGAGGGGGGTAACAGAGATAAACCTATACATACATTTTATGGATGCTTGTATTGCCTATACCATAAGTAAGCGCATACACTATTCTTCCTCTCTCCTTACACGTGTATATAAAACATACCAAAAAAGTCCTGATATACCTAGGTACTCTAGTTATCTTCAGAGTCTCCATCTTGCTGAACTTCTCTGAAATAACAGTACAGCTCATATCTTTCTGTTACTATTGTCAATGCCAAAAGGCAGCGTCCCCAGACAAAATAAAACCATTTCATTCAAATCTAATGAACATGAGCCACCAATGCGATGCCGTAGCTGGCAGAGCTAATCAAACACTGGCATGCATCTACCGAGGCATCTTGGACAAGGCAGAGGATGCCATCCTCCCACTCTACTCGGCCTTGGTGAGAGTGCAGCTGGAGTACTGCATCCTGTTCTGGGTACTACGCTTCAGGAAGGATACGGAGAAGCTCGAGAGCATCCAAAGGAGGGCCACACGCATGATTAGAGGCCCGAAGAGCAGGTCATACAAGGAGAGGCTGAAAGACTTGAAACTGTTCAGCCTGGAGAAGAAAAGACTCAGAGGGGACTTGGTGGCAGCCTATAAGTATATCAAGGGTGTGCATCATGGCTTGGGGGAACATCTATTCACCAAGTATTCCCCAGGGGAGGACAAGAAATAATGGGCACAAACTGGTTGAAGATGGCTTCAGGCTACACATAAGGAAAAACTTCTTTACAAGTTGAGTGCTGAGGGTTTGGACCAGGCTCCCCCCAGAGGTGGTATAGTCACCCACCCTGGCAATCTTCAAAGTGCATCCTGACACCCTAATCTGTAAAGTCCCCTCCAGCCCCTAACAACTATGAAACTATGAAATCTGCACCTCTTGGTTTACAATTAAATACAGCAGCATTCCCCAAATTTAAAAAAAAAGCAAACAAATAAAAATCACCAGTACTGATGAAGGTAGATTTGAAGGGGACACAGGTAGCAAACTCTGTTTCCATTCATCATACGTGCTTTTGAATTCCAAGAGATACTTGCAATACCTCACAGCATTTTAGCCGATTCCAAGTATACGATTCAAGGATAGGAACACATTCTTGAACAGGAAATGCCATTCGGGATTAAGAGCTTTGGTCCGCTATTCTGTCTCCAGTAAAGGTCAGCACTGAATGCTTTAGAAAAAAGTACCAAAACCCACCATAGGAAAATGAAACTTTGGCAGCATCAATTTTGCTGAATTGCAGATGGAAAAAACAATGAATACACACACACCTATCAAAATCAAAATGTAGAGGATGCATTCAATGTTTAAACTACCATATTTTTTCATATGCAACACACCTTTTTTCCACAAGACAAATGCTGCGAACTTGAGCATAATGGGTACATTATATGCAAGGAAATATGGCACAAGCTGTTTCTGCCACTTACTGGGCAAAAGCAAAAGTAAAGTCTTCATATAAACCACAAGGAGTGAAACAATAAGCAGACTCAGCTCCCTGGCTGCTTCCATTCAGTTATTACAAGGAAAGATGTTTTTTTTCTTCATTCTGCCTTTAAAAACAAGTGATGTATCTTTATTTTGGGATGTACTGTATATGAGAAAAATACAGTATTTACTGCAGCCTAAGTATATTGCACAAGATGTTTCCATTTAATTTCCCATGACGCTGAATTCTGCAACCTTTGAGAGATTATAAAAGGTCACCGGACCCATTTTGTGCTCAGTTTAACCAACACAGCCATGGAATAAACTCCACTGACTCCTAGCTAGTTGCAGTGCTATTAACTGAATGGAGAATTTGACCTACTCACTTCATATGCTGCAGATTATAGAAGCAGTAATGGTTTCTCTGCATGCAACATGTTACATCTGGTAAATTCACAAGTTTAAATGTCATTTGATAAACAGCCCTTAAAGATCATAAGAGGAAGAGAAAAATGTGAATTGCACTAATGAATAGAAAATATGTTACTTTAAAGCTGCCAAGAAATGGAAAATCTGAAGCGTGTACAAAGAAAGCGAGACTTCAGATTATGAAATGGTAAGGACTTTCTCTAAAGTGACTCAAAACATAGAACTGATGCTCTCTGCCCATTATGCACTCTGTACTCAAACATTTAAATCATGGTCAACACGTTTACGTGATAAAAATGGCTACAAAATGTGAACGAGGAGATTATAATGAAGATGTTGTTCATTAGTAACTCAAAATGATCTCTGCCTCAAATTAACTGAAAACAACTGGCATACAAGAAGGAATCGCATTAGCTCACAAGCTTAGTTGAAAAGAAAATCTCATCTTTCTAACCTCTGCTGCCAGCTCCTGAAGAGACGGTGATGCCACAGGGTACAAAGTTGAGTTGCCTCTCACTGGGTTATGGAGACTAACATAAGCAACAACGTTTCTCTGGAGAACATTCTTGAGCTCCTACAGGACAAGCATAGCAACTGTTATTAATATGCATGACTGTAATTAAGGCTTGTTTTCTTATTTAGTTCATCTAAAGAAACAAACCCCACGTTTTTACCCTCCATGATTCCCTAAGTATTACTTAACTTCATTTTCTTATAATGTCATGTTAAGAACTTCAAAGGATATCTTAATTTTAGTTCTCTGTAGCAAAAGTTATAATTCTATTTCACACATCATTTGAACAGAATGCAAACAGGTCCAAGAGGAATTAAAAACGACTCTAGTTGCAAGGGCAAGACTGAAAACATTACATACTGTGAAAAAAACATAAGGGGCTTTTAAACTTGTGCCTGACAGAAAACACACTTCAAAAGTCATCATTATCAAACAGTTAAATGCACTTGAATTTTCAAACCAGGAGCCCAAATTCTGATTTAAATTGCATAATTTCTCTGCTGTTGTCATTTTATTATACTTGAAAACTAGGGAAATGATATGTATGAAACATTACAATTATTTTTCTTAAAATGCATTCACTTTGCTTTCTCAGTAATGAGTTACTCCTTGCATGAAGAGTATTTATATTGAAAAGAAGGGGTGCAACACAATGACATCTGATGTAAAGCTGACTTGAAGTGGAACTAAACACATTTTGATTTCTGTCGGCTCCTTGGATCCTTTTGACTTTTTTTCTCCCCCCTCGTGTTTTTGAAAAATAATCACATTGGAAGGATGAGGCTTTGATGAGCGCTAGCTGCTTTTCACAAATGATACAAAATAATTAACTCTTTATATGTATCTATCATTGTATCTTAGCAGCTATGGACTTCACCAAAGGCTACTCTTTTAAATTGATCAACTGAAATCCATTGAAATCTTATTTAAACTGGGAGGCATGTCTGATGAGTTTTTCCATTGAGCTGATTTACAATTCTGTCGAAGCTAAAAAGGAACTGTGCACGTCAGATTGAATCTAACTTTTAAGCACAAATAGGTGATAACTAAAATCAGCACTAACCATGGAGACAGTGAAATTCATATATGATTAATGGCTTGGATGTATGGAAAATACTATAGCACCCCCTTCCTTCATTATGATCCCTGTGAACTACACTCTCCCTGCATAAAAAATGGAAGCAGGAGGTTCAAAAATGTCAGACCTTAAGAAAAAGAGAAGAAAAAGTCTTTCGGTGATCAACATCCTGGTTTCCCAGGACATTTAAAGCACAGGTTCATAGATTCATAGACGTTAGGGTCGGAAGGGACCAATAGATCATCGAGTCCGACCCCCTGCATAGGCAGGAAAGAGAGCTGGGTCTCGATGACCCCAGCTAGATACCTATCTAACCTCCTCTTGAAGACCCCCAGGGTAGGGGAGAGCACCACCTCCCTTGGGAGCCCGTTCCAGACCCTGGCCACTCTAACTGTGAAGAAGTTCTTCCTAATGTCCAGTATTAGGTGCAAGTCCCATGGCCCTATTTCACCCGACCTGTAGAGGGGCCATGAATTTGGGGATAGCGTGAGCAGGGGTGGGGACCACTTCCAATTACCAGGTATGGACCCTCTTTGGGGACATATGTTGGTGGCAAGACGGTAAGCAATGCCTGCGCTAACCCCTCTGCCATAGCTAGTCTCACTGCTATACATCGCTTTGCCACTGCTACCAGATCCAGATACAGCCTGAGCGGCTCTCACAATCTGGAACCAGTCCAGGGGTGCAGGTGCATTTGAAACCTCTTATTTAAAGGATGCCTTTCTTAATGATAGCTCCAAGCCCCACTCAAGTTTCTTAACAAGTGTCAATGAATAAAAAGTACATGAAAGTCAATTTAGGTGTCTACCACTTCCATGTACAGGCTGGATCACTAACAGAGCTGTTTCTTTGGCTTAACTTTTTAAACATGAGTTATGAGTTCTATTGGTTACAAATTCTAGCCCCGCTGATAGATAATAAGTTTTTAGCTGATAATCAGTGTCTGCCAAAGTGATGACAGCAGAGTATGGATGGATTGTTCTAATTAGCCATAATTAGTCATGAAATGGCTTGGGCATGTATCCAAAACTAGGTGAATCTTCTTGAGTCTAAAAATTAGAATAAGTAATGGTTTTAAACAAAGTTATAACCTCTGCATATCACTCTGCCTTGTGTCTCTGTGTCTTATCCTGTTCGTGCTGACACCAGCTTGTTTATATTATTGCTATATAAGTGTATGCATATGAACATATTTTACCTCTGCCCATTCATATGAGCCAATGTTGCCAAATGACGTTCCTCCCCATGAGCAGAAAACAATGGTTCGGTCAGGCCTCCACCCTTTCTTAACCTTTATCATCAAGGCTTGTATAAAGGCTGTGATGATGGCAGTACTTTGGGCCCATCCATGTCCACTGTAACTGTATAAACTATTGTGGTGGCTACCAACGATGACATATCTGTCTGAAAAATAAAAATAAATTATTATTATTATTTTTTAATTCGGACCTTAACATTTTTAAAATCAAATATAAACACTTTTGGAGTGCAACAGTCTAATAATAAAGGCTGGATTATGTTAATACTTTCGTATGTTAACAATGCATACAGCACAGGTAAGTATTCTCAACAAAAATTTGCATGATCAAGCTAAGCCCTGTGCAAGGCAATACCTAGATCTGTGTTTTCTTTACTTACAGCAATCATAACCGAAGTAAACAGGGGCCAATATAGAAGCCAAGTAAAAATGTGCACATGCTTTAAAGTGCATAGTGTTATTTGTAATTTTACAGCTGCAATAAATAACTTTCATCCTGTGTTCTGACTATCTTAGACAAGCATCTGAAAATACATGAATAAACAGAGACACTGCCCCCCCTGACCCCGAGTCCTAACTTTTGCATCTCCACAGACTTTCTTTATTACAATCACTTCTCATGGCACATCCAGAACTGAGGCTGTCCCATATTTGTGGCAGAGTTTGTCATTGAGTTATCCAATACATCTCCAAGCATGCTTTAATATGCTGTAAAAATAAGATAATAATGCTCAGGCAAACCTTGGTTTACTGTGCAGTGGCAGCAACTAAAATCTTTGGTTGTATAAAAAATGAAGCAAGCGGAGGTTAGGCTCTATTTAAGAAAAAAAAGATAGAGAAATAGTATAGAAACTATTATAATGCCATTAATGATACAACCTCACCTGGAATACTGTGTTGAGTGCTGACCACCCTATCTCAAAAAGGGTACTGGAAAAACAGAAGAACTTGAGAAGCAGGTAACCAGAACAGTTAAAGATCTGGAAAGACTTCCGGGTAAGGAGAGACTGAAAAGACTGGGACTGTAGGTTCAGAGAGGAGATATGACAAAGGTATAACAACAACAATCACGGTACAGAAAAGATGGAGGAGACCTGTTTACTTTGATTATATAAGAACAAGGTGATAATTTATAAACTAATGAAACGCGGCAAATTTCAAACTAAAATAAGAAATCTCAGGTGGTTAATCCATGAAACACTCTGCTAAAATACAATATTGTGGGCAGCATAGGCATAGAATTTGGAAGAGGCTTCAACAATTATAAGGATAATGAAAACATCCATTGTTAAAGAGGATTGGGAAAAATCACTCGCATGTCAAATGTATATAACCTTATGCTTCAGGGCACAGTTTTATCATTGTCCTTTTACGCAGTTTTCTAGGCTCTTTCCTCTAAGCATCCTAACTACTCTTGGAAATAATACATTACTGAATTAGATCAACCACCAGTCTGAGCAGAATGGCAAGTTCTGCGTACCACAGGGTCCAGTGGCAGTTAGGAGTACAAAAGTAAGATAACATCAGACCTGCTGTGTGTTGTCAGCTTATGAAAACAAACTGGAATTTGGGTGTAGGTTAGATCCTCATCCAAGTCTCTTAAACCTGCCAAACAGAGTGGGATTAAGGGTGTTCTTTATTTCAGAATTTCTACAGGGGAAAAACAGTTTTCAGACCATTTCAGAACCCTGAAATAAATCCACCAGGTGTCTGCCGGGCTCTAAAAGATTTCAGGCTCTATCCAATCTGGTTCATCTATTGCTGTTGTCAATGCTGGAGTGTAACTGGATGTTTGCATTATAAATTGTCCACACATTAAATTGCCTATGAAATTAAATGCTGTGCACTCCTCAGGGATCTCTGTTTTGATTACTGCCTACAAACATCTTGAATTGGACATGTACTCTCTGATTATAAAACCCCCTCCATCAAAGTGGGCCTTTAGTGGAGTTCTGTTCAAGGTACTACCCAGGGACATGATTTTAGAAGAGTATAATAATGTGGCACTGGGTTTTACTGAAGGGGCAGCGGCAACATCTCTCTTGACTTAAGTGCTTTTCAATCAAATTGCATTGCTGATTGCCTGTTCAAATACACACACACACACTTACATACATACATCTATATATATACACACACACATAAATGAAAATCTATTTGCAACAGCAGCTGTTTCTTAGATTGTAATTTTATTGTATGTACTGATACAGAGTCATTAACACAAAACTGTATACCCTGTCAGAAAAATGTAAATCTAAGTGTACATAATAATTGAATGTAATGAGAAGTATTGTAATGAGAAATATTCTCAAGAAAGTGCTAAAAGTTGTATCAATCCTCCAGATCCAACAGACATTCGCTGTTGGGTCCCAGGGATTGAGAGATCAAGCTGAAATTTAGGGCAGCTGCGAGTCCCGTAGCCCCACCTCTCCCTCCTCCCAGCTCTGGTGCTGTTTTCAGGATGGGAGCGGAGGGAGAGAGCAGAGGAAGCTTGGTCTGGGGTTAGCCCAGCCAGCTCTGGAGGGTGGGGAGGGTAGACTGGCACTCCCCCACATCTCTTTAGACTTATGGACACACAAGGACCTACCAGAACTACTGAGAGGGTTTGGGCAGCATCAAGGATTGCCCTCCCCTGTCCTATCCACTTGCCCTGTGGAACAAAAGTATAATGGGATCTGGCAACTACTACCTTCAGTCCAAGAAGCTCCAGCTAAAAGAGGGGAGTGGGGACAGCAGCTGATGGCTCTTTTGAAGCTACTCACCTGCCTACACCCCTTCCAAATGAACAGACACACAAGAAAACTGACTACAGAAGCAGCAGATGGGCAGCAGCAGTAGCCTTTTCTGCCAAAAACCTCCTGAAAGTAGGTGAGGAAACAAGACAGAACATAAGGAGAAGGAAAAAAGAGAGGTGCCAAGCAGAAAAGGAAGAACCATCAGAAACTTTGCGGGGAGTGAGGAAATAGGCAAGACAGTCAGGGTGGTTAGTAGAGTAAGGATTAATAACTGGCGGACTGTATATAGTCTTTTTCCTTATTAGTTACACCTCCCCGAAATACAATGACTAGCTATTTAGTGCTTGCTCACTATAAAATCCATACGCATCGCATTCAGAGTTCCACAGTGGTTGCTGACTAACCAATACATTTCTTCCTTATCTTATTCCTTCAGCTTCATGGCAGGATTTCAGATGCTCCATGAGAGCTTTTAAACGCTCTCTATAATGCTTTGCCAACCACAAATTAAAACATATGTCTCCCCATGTAGAAACCCCTAGGAGGGAAAATCCATGCTTGGTGCAATTCTTCGGGTTTCAGTGAACTAAGAGCCGATACATTCTGCTTCCTCTCTTTACTACAGGAGCATAGAGAGAATTGCTGCAGACATAAGCTGAAAAGAACCACGTTAAAATGACAAAGTGCCAAATATGCCATGAAAACTTCAAGTATTGTCACACCCAGCAGGACCTCTGCTACAATACCCACTGGAAAGTACAATGAATCAACTGAAGGCTCAGAGTTAATTTAAAAATAAATGGTATCCATAGAGAATTACACATTTAAATTAGAAGACAGGGCTGGATAGCCTCAGTTCAGCAAGGTATTTAAGAATGGGCCTCACTAAACATCTGAGTAGACACGGTGATCTCAGTGCCGCATGTACATAGAATTAAGGATGTTCCTATAAAACACACAGAATCAGGGTCTTCATAAGGATGCCATTAGCACAAGAAATATTTAGGAGTTTGTTTTTTTTTACTTTACATTTTCGCATACACTATAGTAAATACAGGAGTTAAAGTATTGCCAGATGCATTGCAGGAAGTTCATGTCAAGGAAAAAAATGCCTAGTTTTTTAATCAGTTTTCCTATTCCTGGTTTGCAATTCAGAAAAGCAGGGGAATTCTTCTGAAAAAGCTATTTTGTATTTCACAACTTCAGCTATTTTTTTCAACATAGGTATTTTAAAATACCCCATGGGTAATAAAACTGATAACTTCAAATTCCTGTGCAGCCAAAAAAAATTCCATTTAATCAAATTTAATTTTAAAATGGCATTTTTTAAATCTTTTATAAAAGCAACTTAGTTGTTGAAGCTGTAGTTGTTACTCCACTAACAGAAGTTATAGTATAAGCTCCATCATCCTGTCCACCTCAGTTCCTCGCTACTGACCTGATCTGATCACATCTTGAGAGCGTGAAGTTAAGCTGCCATCTATCTCTTTGCTTAGACTGACAATAGCACTGCTAATCCAGGAAAATGCGATGATGGTTTTGGAGAAGATGCCATCTGTCTGTTTGGAACTGAACTGAGTGGACCACCAAAACTCAGTATGTCAGTAAGCAGACATCACCAACAACAGCTTTTAATAACTACTAAAGAAGCCAGCTTCCAGTCAAAAAATGAAAAAAAACAAAAAAAGAAAGAAAAAACACTTGCAAAGCCCATTCCTTCTGATCATGATGCCAGTGATTTCCCAATGATACCACTTTCTACGACTACGATAATAAAACAGAGTAAATCTTTCCAATTCTGTCATCCCTAGTCCCATTGAACAGACAGATTTCAATGGAAATACTCCTGGTATAAGAAACTGCTTACCATAAATAAGTCTGAAGAACCAGGCCTTAAATTTTACAAGTGACAGCATTTCAAAGCTTTGTACCCCTCTAAAATGTCCATTGCTAGGTTTTTGGCTACTTAGCTAGAGCTCATCCTCTGTCTTGATTCAGTTAGCAATCTGCCCACAGGTGGGATATAGTGCAATGCCCCACTACACATCTGAGTCGCACAAAGTTTGATATTTGCTTCCAATTGCTTCTGTAAAAATAAGTGATCCCATTTAGAATTGGGTACTAATGGGAGAATAAGCATAGACTTCTACCATTCTGACATATGCATCACATCTGCTTCCTATAATACCAGCTCATAGATCATTTAAAAAATAAGACTTAATAATAATCCATATTTAAGAAGACTACAGCCTTTGCTAAATCATAGAGACCTCTTATACAAAGCTCCCAGTCAAACGATGCATTAGTTTCTACAATTAGAAATTCCAAGACATTTGCTGATTATGCTGTAAAACACACGTATTATTATAAGGATAATTACTATTTGTTGTGCAAAAACATGCTCATTTTGTTGGCACTGTCTCCTTTAGCTAAATCTCTGCTTAACTCTACTGGTGAGCCTCTGTATAAACCAAATTGTAATCTCCCTAGAACAAGAATAGTCTTTTCATTAGAAATTATGGCAGAGCTCATCACAATAAGAACTTGATACTTTGCTGGACCTCTTAACATTATAGTGCTACTTTATCAAAAGTGGCAATGATGATAATAGTGATCATAAAGGTTTACTTACCAGGAAGTGCAGATCCCTTTAAATACCCAATAACATTAGAAATGGTCTTGTATGTTGTGACTGTCTGAATATTCAGAGTGATTACAGTCTTTTCTGGTGAGAGAGAAAAGAAAGCAAAAAACATCAGATCTGAGAACAATTTGAAAGCTTATCAAGCCTCCAAATTCTCTACACCCTCAATTACCCTACAAGAAATGAAGGAAAAAGAAGAGGAGGTAGGAGAACATTTTTCCTCTTCCTAAATTACATAAAAGAGGCGTGTCAGACAATAACAACTTCAACCACCTCTTCCCCCATGCTCATTTAACATCATGACCCCAAGTGGTTCCTCAGCAAATGGAGGGAAACATGAAAGTGGTGACTCTAAAAAGATGCACCTCTACTGCTCGAGCTAAGACAGCAGTGCTGCAATGGGCTCATCAACTTCTACACGTGGCCCAGCCACACAGGTAAGAACTGAATACAAGAGGGAGTCTGTGGGTTACACACATTTCTGGGCAAGAGAGCTTGTGCAGTGCCAGTCCCTATACAGGATACCACTGATACCATTCAGAAGCTTGGTGTTATTTTAGACTTGTCAGGAGCTCTCCCACGGTCATATTCCCCAGGCAGAGCCAGGTTATAAAAAGGGTAGTTCAGTCAAAACAGGTTTCAAGAGCCTTCTCAAAAGTTACTGATCCCAAATAAAATACTCTATGGAAAGATCACTTTGTTCTTAATCTCCCAGGCTATTTTTTCCTACTGTTATATTTTTCCCAAACAGCCTCTTTTCTTGCTTCCTGAGATGCATGGGATGTTTCAATGGAGAGTGCACTGCAATTCATAAAATAAAAATAGCCTGTCTCTAGCTTTATTAGAATGCTTTTCATGTTCAGATGAATTTATCCAGTGAGCCAATTTTAAAAGTTAATTAAAAGTAAACCCAGATTTTTCATTCACCTGCTAGATCACAGAAACCGATGGCCTCATTAATGTTAAAAAAGCTAGGCCCTTTCGTTGCTTCTTAAAAAATAAAACCAACAAATAATTACAAGTCTATCTCCCAAAGTTGTATCCAATCCCTTATTTGGGCACTTAATATCATCAGTGAGAATATCATTAGTTCTTAGGCTGAAAACTAAATAAGGACTTAGTTTACCCAGTTTGTCCATCAAAGTTTTCTTTCTAAAAATTCTTGCCCCTTGCACAATGAACTAATGTGAGCTCTAAGACCAGCTATAATTACAACTAGGCTTTATGCATTATCCCCAGGTTATAAATCACAGTCTTTTGAGATATAAAATCATTCTATGTCCAAATGACTCATTTTGTTGAAAAGTATATTCAAGCCAAGGTCGACTTCCCGCTTTTGGTCTAGTCTTGCAGTACTTAAATGTGGTATATTTTATTAGGTCCAATTCAGCAAAGCACATGCTAAAATCTGCTGGAAGACAACTGAATTCACTACTTTCTTTGTTTCTATGTTGAATTAGTTCCATAATTGACACTGGCTACCAAGTTCTGAATTGATAATAAAGCAAGAGAAAATTCTCCTCTGGCAACTGATACATTTTGGAATCAGATATTAAAATGACTAGACATATTGTAGAGTACTCTGGCTTAAAGTGGCTTAGGCTTAAAGGCTTAGTGCACCTGGCAAAAGGGCTCAAGGGGCTTTCTACAGGGTACACAAAAAAAGTAAAATTTAATTTCCTTTAAACAGTTCTGACAACAAATCTTGCTTCCCGATGTTACACATCCAATGAAAGACTTTAAAGGTCTTGACAACTTTATCTCTTTTCCCTTTATTCTCTGAAAAGCCATAAGGAGACTTTAGCTTAATACTGCTTGAAATATACTTTACGTTTTTCTAAGCCATAAAAGCCACTTCAAAATGAAAAGAGTACAAAGGGATGCGTTCATATTGTTAATATTTCTGGTTTGTTTATATTTTTTCAAGTTTTCCTGACCTGAAAGCTACTAATTACCACATACAGGGTGTGGCTTACACATGCATATTAATGCAATGCGATAAACCCCGGTGCTTATTGCCACTATCCACCCCCGCCCCGCTTCTCTTCCTGCAGGTCAGCCTGTCTCCTGCGCTGCCGCCAAGTCCATGGTGCCTGGCCTCAGGGAGGTAAGAGGCTCCTAACCGACTGGGACGTGGAACTGGTGGCACCCCAGCACTCCCACCAGGGGACCTCTCCAGAAAGGTGCCCTGGGGCCAGCCCCCGCCCTGCACTGGCTCTGCACCCCACGCATGCCCCTTATGAGAGTATTCTGGGCACGCTGCGAGGAACTGTTTGTACAAACCAAGGATACACGACCCACTACGCCCTGCTACTGCTGATGGTCATGGTGCCACAGGTGCACCTAGAGCAAAATACTGAGCTTCAGCTTCAATAGTATGGAGGGCAAGCCCCTGCTGCCTCACAACCTCTGCCACCACCCGGAGGGCTACCTGTGGCCTGGGACAGGCTTGGAAATGGGGCAGGGGATGCAGGTTACCTGCAGCCAGCACCCAGCAGCCCACCCACCCCTGAGGAGCAAGCAGGGATAGGGGGCTCAGCTGGTGACTGCCTGTGCCAGGGCCTGACTGGCTGACTTACCATGGTCTCTGGGCACCCATGCACACATGAGCCCTGATCTGAGGCCAGACTGCACAGCCCCCTGGTATTGAGCATGTTAGCTCAGAAATGTTGCAAACTCTTACAAACAACTTCTTTCTCCTGGTTCTGTAGGATCTGCAGCTGTACGCGAGGCAGAGGCACCAGCCGGCAGCCAGGATGTGCCTTCAAGGTCACCACCAGTCTTGGCCAGGGCCCTGGGTATGTGCCGGCTCTGGCAGCATAGGACCCAGAACTGGACCCAGCTGCTGGACCAGCTGGTCACGGTGGCTGAGGAGTGGCTGGAAGACTCGTGGGCCTGGTGCATGGAGAACATTGCCCATGGGTGGGAGAGGGATACATGAAAATGGAAGAGGGACACCCGCGAGGTGGGTTAGGGATGCACACAAAGTAGTGAGGGAGCAGGAGCTCTGGGACAGGCTCTTGGCCCTGTAGGAGGCCCAGGAGGGGCAAGCTGCCCTGGTGGCCAGGACAATGGAGGTCACACAGGAGGACTGGTGTTGGACACCACCCTGGCCCTGGTGGTTACCTTGGTACCATCTGTTCCCCTGGCCCTGGCCCTGGCCCCATCTGTCCCCTGGCAGCTGCCCACCACCCAGCAGCAGGGCCACCCCAAGGGCCTCGGCTGAGATGCAGCAGCACTTCCACTGGCCAGGTGCCCCTGTCCTGAGGTCCCCACCACCCAGCACCCCTGCCTAGGCCCAGCCCAGCTGCTCGCCCAAGCATCATGCAGCCCCAGAGCAGGTGCTGCCTGCAGCAGGACCAGGGCCAAGCAGGACCAGGGTGACAGCAGACACTGCTCTGGCAGCTGAGCCAGCTTCCCCTCCTGAAGCAGGAACAGGACCAAGCACTGGCTGCAGGAGGGGGAGCTGACTCTGCTGTCACCCCCAGGCAAGCCACCTACTGACCACACTCACTGCAGCTTGCACACCCGTGGGGGTGTGACCAGAGGCTACAGTGCTGGATGCCTATCCCCAGGCTCTACCCCTTGGTGCCCCTACTCTATGGCCTCTCACCCTGGGAGAGCACAAATTCTACTGGATATAGTCTGCATGTGAAAGAGGGTGCTTTACTGGTGGTGGGGCGGGTGCACCGGCATCCATTCAGATAGCTGATGGCTCAGTCCACCAGTGCGTGGGTCTGGCTCGGGTACCTGTTGAAGTATGTCTGGCAGGGGTCCAGCTGTCTGGTGTAGGGCCACCTTAACTAAGGCAGGAGCAGTTAGGCAGGGTCCCATCTAAGGAGAAGCAGGACAGCCACCGTAATAAGCTGAAGGTCCAGCACCCCTGGTGCAAAGCACCCACTCTCCACCAGGGCTGGCAGAGCAGAGTTGTGGAACACGCAGGTGTCATGGGTGCTGCCTGTCCAGCTGGCATTTACATTGGTGAAGGCACTGTGGTGGTCAAAGACAACCTGGAGCATGACAGAGTAGAAGCCGCACTGGCTGTAGTAGGGGTGGTCGCTGCAGGGTGGCAGGTGATGGGCAGGTGTGGGTCTTTTCCAGGTATTCTGCCATTCCAAGTGTGGGCGGAGCTACTCAAGGAGCTCCTCAAAGGTGGCCTGGGTCATCCAGAATGACTTCAACCACTGCTCGTTATCCCAGGTGCACGGGATGACGTGCAGCCACCAGTCCTGGCTGGCTGGGTGGGCCCACAGGCAGCACAGTTGGAGCCCCAAGAGCGTATGGATAGCACCAGTGGTGGCATCCAGATGTGCATCATCAGAATCCCTGCTGGGGTCTGGGCAACAGCAGCACAGTGGCAGGGGGCCTGGGATGGCATGGTGAGCCTGGCTAGGAGGCTGCATTGTGCAGGGGGGCTGCCAGGGCTGAGACTGATTTGAGCCAGGTGGCAGTTGCCATGGCAGGGCAGAGTGGTGAGCAGGAGCCTGGGGTGGCTGACATTGCTCTCAGGTCCTAGGAGCAGCCATGGTGCAGTGGGCAGAGGCTCCAGCAACAGAGCTGCAGCGTGCTGGCACAGTGCTCTGCAGGCTGTGCCAAGCCAGGAAGCCACATGGGCAGGGAGAGGGAGTGGGGCTGTCTTTTACAGATGGCCGCTGGCTGCAGGTAGGTGTAGTTGGAGCCTCCAGCTCCCCCTGGCTGCTGCAGGGCCAGAGGAGGCAGGAGCAGACTTGCTGCCAGGACCACCAAATCTGCTCCCAAATGGTATATGTAGACCCCTGCCCAGGGTGGGTTCACACCAGAATAAATTACTCTGCTGTAAACCCAACCAGGAGCATTTGCACATGTAGATACACCCACCTTGAGACTAAAACAGGCATTTTGCATCAGTATATTTCTTGATGCCAATTTTAGTATCCGGTCTACATACTAAAGCTAAACCCTAAATCTTCTTTCGGAACTCTGTTGTGGTTCGCAAAACAATAATTCAGGCCCAAATCATCTAACAAAACTTCCTTTATGCACGTTTAAATTTAATTATATGAATGCCTGAGTAATGCTGAGTAGATGCACAAGCAGGAACC